AAATTATACATTATAAACATTATAAAAAAGAATGCCTCTATGAAAATTAAAAATATTATTCTAATATTGACAACTGGTTTTACTTCTAACATTTGATTTCAAGAAAAAGTTATGAATATTTTTAAGATATTGTCCCAAAAAGTAACTTTATTTACCATAAATAAATTGCTTCAAATTTATTTGTTTTTTTTTTTCCGATGCTTTTGAAAATTAATGGAAATTTGACTTCCACAATGTACCAAGTTGATTCACTTTCCAACCGGAAAAGCTATTGAAATGAAAATCGAAGCATTATTTCGATAACTTATCATGTACGTGGACATACAAAAAAAAACACAACATTATAAAATCAATGCATTCATTGTTCCGCTCAGAATTTTAATAAAAGAAATTTAATTAATTAATAGTATATCTTATCTTATATGTATTTTTATTTTTATAGGAAAATATTTAGAAAAGAAAGCATTAAAACATTCCTTTTTGTTGTTTGTTTCTTGCAGCATTTCTCCTGTTATGATTACCGCAGAATGCTTTGTTCTCATTTTTTCTTTGTCTGACTAACTCAATATTTGACCCAGATGATGTAGCTGACGAAGAAGCTACTTGATGTTTATCTAACATGATTAAGTAATAACACATATTTTTCAAAAAATTATTCATATATGTTTTTACTGCTAAATACTTACTTCTATTGGATTTTTTAGACTGTTTTGCAGCATATTTTCTAGCTTGTCGTTYTCGAACTTCTTCAGGATTTTCACAGAATGGTTGGAAATTTGGTACTTTCTGTGGTTCATCATCTGAAAACTCTTCTACTATAACTTTATTTGCAACTTTTTTCTTCATTAAAACCCTTGGTAAAACATCTGGTCTTCTCTTTGAATTTTCATCTACTGGTTCTGGTCTGACATATTCAATTTCATCATACACGTCGTCATATTTATTATTAAAATATGAATCTAATTCAGCACTTGTGATTTCAGTGATAGTATATTTTTCATAAAATGACCGCATTTCATTTCGGAAAGATTTATCATCCAAGAGTGCAAGTTTTTTATTTCTTAATATAAATTAAACATAATATTAATATTCATTAATTAATTTTTGTATCAACAAATATTGTAAAAATATAAATCCAATCCATCTTACTTTTTATTTGAAGGATCATAACCAGTAGCATTATCCTCATACTCCAACATCAAAGGATGATTTAAATCGTACTGAGTAAGTTCTGATGGAGGACAATTTTCCAAGACCATACTTATAACTTTTTCAGAATCCATGTCATAATATTCTAAACATTTCTAAAAAAAAAAAACATCTATTATAATTAAATATTAAAATTAAAAAATACAAACTAATTAACCTTGATAAATCCGTCTCCTAAATGGGGCAATAAATCTTTTACATTATTTATAAGAGACTGTAACTTTGCGTTCTCTATATTTGTATTAATGATTTGTAGCTAAAAATTCATAATTATTATTTTATATTTTTATTGTTAATAAAGGAATTTTATAAAATAATTACTTCCAACTGTTGTTCTTGTAATTCTTTTTGTTCAAGTTCAATATATGGTTTATTAATCAATTCTAAAGATTTTAATAAATAATCATATCTTGTTGAGTCTCTAAAGGTTTTTTTTAAATTAAAAT